CCTCTTCTTCACCGGCGACGCGCCCTCCCGCCGGCCGGGGCGCCTGCGGGACAGGGACTCCGGGGGCCCCCCGGCGTGGCTGTGAGGCCCCGGCTGACCGGCCGCCAAAAAGGAGTGGTCCTCGCGGTAGAAAGTACTTTGAGATTTTCTCCCAATCTGGGATGAAAAGATCTCTTTGCCTTCAACCCCAGCTTGCGCCCGGGCCCATTTCGGCAGGTCTCGCGGCCCCTTGTTCGCGTCCAGGATTTCGGGCAAGGAGGGCTCGTGCATGGCACCCATGATGGCCCTCTGCTTCCCCTGCACGGGCGAGAGCCTCCTGGTCTCCAGGAAGGCCAAGGAGCTGGGCACGGGCTCGGCGGGGTTGCTGTCCGTGAAGTAGATGAAAATCAGCAGGAAGAGGAGCCCCCACGTAAATATCCCGCAAAGCATTCGTTGTCTCCATTGCTTCAAGTGTGGTTTCATGGCAGGTCTCTGGGCTCAGCGGCTGGTGTCCCGAAGCGGGCCGGGCACAGTGAACCTGAAAAACAGGTCTACGGTTAGCCAGCGTGGACACCTGCTCAGACATCATCGGGACGATCCGTCTACGCAGTGTTCCTGTAGGAGAGGGTCAGAACGGGCATCAGGGACCAGGGCCATGGGGGGGTATATTCACCTGTCGTATTTCCCCCAACCCCCACCTCTGCAAAGGGGTCCTGCCATCAGCTGACAGCCTTGGGAGAGAGGCGGTGGAGTGGGTGTATATCTGGAAACCCTCCCCAGGTCACTCTGACATGTTTGTCTCCTGACCTTGCCCACTGGGTGATAGGTGGGGGCCATCCCAAGGACCTGTCCCTGAACTGGGTTTATAGCATTATAATTTGGTAAAGCAAAGCAGGGGAGTTGGGCAGAGTTTGCCATCTCTCCCTGCTTACCAGACAGCCAAAAGCCCAAAGCTCTCATACTGTACAGCAGCATGGCTGTGATTTCTAAGGGGTGACAACCACATCTGATTCTTCATGGTCTCCCCAGGTCTGGGAGGCTGCCCGGAATGTACCAGACGTCCACCTAGGGTCAGTGACTGCTGCTGCAGGGGGATGCTATGCCAAGGGGTCTGTGGACTTCAGTAGTGCCCCAAATAATGCCCACCTACTTCACCCTCAGCCCGAGTCTCTGAGGAAATAAGAAGTATGTTCAATTTTTACATAAAAGAGAAGAGAGCTTGTTGATTCTAGACGAGCCTCCAACAGAGAAAGGCTGACAAAGGCGGCAGAGGCGAAAAGCTAAGAATGTTAGTGAGAAGGAGCCTCTTCCATGCAGCATTGCAACCCATGTGTACTGCTACACTGATTCCTGGTAGTACAGTGCTTGGTACTAAGGGAAACAATAAAACATTAACAAGAAATGCACCTAAGTTTCAGGAGTGTAAGCCAAGCCTCAGAAAGGCAAAAACACACGGCATGCTTGTGGAATGATCACCGAGCTTGCTGGCACTTAGAGCTGAGAGCGCAGCAGCCAGCACCAGAGGACCCTGAATTAGTATGAGCTGAAGGATGGCCAGAGCCTGTGTGTGTGTGTGTGTGGCAGGGCCTGCACGCTTGCACGACTGTGTTTGGGTGACACTGTTGGAAGGGTTACCGCAGAAACCCCGGTGGGGCGCAGGGCTGCCTGTCACTGTATCCAATTCAAGGGAGGCACTGTTGAATCATATAAGGCGTTTATTGAGAAGGCGGACCAACCAAGAAGACAGGGAGCATAGGAGCACCCCAAACCTGTCGTAAGGAGTGGCCTGAGGGATCGGTTATATGGGGCAAACTGGGGCTGGGAGTGGAATGCAGCTATGTGCAGTCCTGGAAGTCATTCTTTTGATCTTGGTCCCCTGGGGATGTCTCAATAAGGTGAGATCTTCACTCTTTTGATCTTGATGGCCTGGCAATGTCAATGATAAGGTGATATCTTAACCCATTGTTCACAGCCACCTCCTTAATTGCTTCAATCTAGCATCAAAAGGTGTGTAGGGTACAAAGGCCTAGGAGAAAGAAGCCTAAGGGGGAAAAGCACACACTTAAACCCCTGCTTACACATGTGCTCTACAATTTNGTAGGGTACAAAGGCCTAGGAGAAAGAAGCCTAAGGGGGAAAAACACACACTTAAACCCCTGCTTACACATGTGCTCTACGATTCTGTAAGTAATATAATTATATTTCATATTAATTCAGGTGCTCAATCTTTGGACATTGTAAGTGCTCCTATCAGAAGTAGGGAGAGCATTTGGTGAACACTTAACTGGAAAGTTATGCCCTTTCAGCCATGGGGAACCTCAAGGGCCTACCTGGGCATCTCGGCTGCGTGAGAAACAGGCAAGTGAAGTTCTCTGAGCAAGGGCAGGATGTGCTGCTTGCATGGGCTTTAGGAAGACGACTTTGTAGCAGGTAAGGGGGGCAGGGAGGAGTGTTAAGAGGTCATTAGTGGAGATCAGACTTTCAGGCAGAGCTGATGGGAGGAGCCGGGGGATCAGTGAGTGGTCTAACCCTTCTCTGGCATGGGCTGCTTGCTGCTCCAACACCAAGGCATGTGAGGTGTGGCCACAACGCAACACCACACTAGGGATTTTACTCAGATGAAAGCTGAAATCAAAATGAGTGACACCTCAGTCAGCATCTTCACCTTGGGAAGCTACACACTGCCTCTGGTGGAAAAAAGATACGCTCAAGTAAGAAAGCACATTTGCCTTGTGGCCCTGCAAGTGATTAAAGATGGACACAGATTCTCTGACCCTCCTCCTGTGGAGAGAAGGGTCTATGTCTCCTCCCCTTGAATAAAGGTGGGGGGAGGTCGGCTGATCAGCTGTTAGGCCCAGATCTAGCTGATTCCACTTTCTGCCTCTTAAACAGCTCACTCTGGAGAAGCCAGCTACCCACAGAGATGTCTCTGTAACCCGAGTCCTCCACGCAGCGAGGAGGCCCCAGCTAGCCTGTGGAAAGGCACACAGACTGACAGATGCCAGCCTTCCCTGGCTGTGCCACCATCCCTGCCCCATCCTGGAGGGCCAGCCCAGTGGAGCTCTGAGGATCTCAGCCCCAGCCCAACTCTGACTACACCCTCAGGGAAGACCCCGGGTAAGAACCCAGCTAAGCCAGTCAACCCACAGAGCATGAGTAACAGTGAGACACTGTTGCTCTGAGCTGCTGAAATTTGACGTGATCTGTTGTTACATCATCACAGATGACTGGAACAGGGTCTAATAAAGATGCCAAGTGAGAAGTGCCCAGAATGTTTCTGACAACTGTGGCATTTTGAGGTAAATGAGAGTCTAGCCTCTTAGAGGGATTATATAAAAACCAACATTCATTTCAATGCATAAATTGTGGCTTCTAAAAGTGTTTGCTTTACCTTGTCTTCACAGGGAAGTAAGGCTGTAGACAGTCATAAATTAAAAACATAGGATATGCTCTAACCAAGCCAGAGACATTGACGCCAGAAATGAACATAAAAGAAATAACACCTTCAGTTAGCTTTCCGTGTGCCAGGCCCTGTGCTCAGCACTTTTCCTGGACTATCTCCGAGAGTTTGCTCTTCCCAGCATCTAATAAGGTAGGAAATACTGCTATATCCAATTTATTTTCTCTTTAACTTTATTTTTTCTATCACTATTTATCCCCCCTATACTCTCCTCCACCTCCACCCAACCCTCTTCATCCCCCCCAACGAGCACACTGTTGTCCATGGCCATGAGTTCTCTCTCTCTCTCTTTTCTTCGCTCAAACACTCCACACCCCCAGACCCCTCACCGAGCTGTCAGCCTACTCACTATCTTTCTCTCTTTTGCTTGTTAGTTCAATGTGTTCATTAGATTCCACATATGAGCGAAATAATATAGTATTTATCTTTCTCTGACTGGCTTATTTCACTTAGCAAAATATTCCCCAGGTCCATCCATGCTGTTCCCAAAGGGTAAACTTGTCTTCATTTTTATGGCCAAGTAGTACTCCATTGTATAAATATATCGTAGCTGTTTTATCCACTTACCTACTGATGGACACTTGGGTTGCTTCCAAATCTTGGCTATTGTAAATAACGCTGCAATGACATAGGGATACGTAAATTCTTTTGAATTAGTGTTCCGGGTTTTTCAGATAAATTGCCATAAGTGGAATCACTGGATCACAGGCAGTTTCATTTTTAATTTTTTGAGGAAACTCCATATTGTTTTCTACAGTGACTGCACCAGTCTGCATGCCTACAAGCAGTGCACAGGAGTTCCCTTTTCTCCACAACCTCGCCAGCACTTGCTGTTTGCTGATTTATTGATGATGCCATTCTGACAGGTGTGAGGTGATATTTCATTGTGTTTTAAATTTGCATTTCTCTGATGATTAGTGACACTGATCTTTTCATGTGTCTAGTGGCCATTTGTATGTCCTCTTTGGAGAAATGTCTATTCAGGTCCCTTGCACATTTTTACATTGGATTGTTTGTTTTTTGGTGTTGAGTTTTATAAGTTCTTTATAAATTTTGGATATTAACCCTTTATCAGGTGTATCAGCGAATATGTTCTCTCATTTAGCAGGTTATCATTTCACTTTGTTGATGGTTTCCTTTTCTGTGTAAAAACTTTTTAGTTTGGTGTCTCTTTGTTTATTTTTTCTTTTGTTTCCCTTGCCTAAGGAGATATATCACAAAAATATTGCTGTAAGAAATGTCTGAGATTGTTTTCTTCTAGGATTTTTATGGTGTTGAGTCAAACATTTAAGTCTCTAATGCATTTTGAGTTTATTCTTGTGTATGGTGTAAAAAGGTGGTCTAGTTTCATTTTTTTACATGTAGCTGTCCAATTTTCCCAACACACTTCGTTAAATAGACTATCTTTAACCTGCTGTATGTTTTTGCCTTCTTTGTCAAATATTAATTGACCATATAGGTGTGGGTTTACTTCTGGGCTCTCTATTTTGTTCCATTGACCTCTAAGTCTGTTTTTATGCCAGTGCCATACTGTTTTGATTACTATGGCCTTGAAGTATAGTTTTATATCAGGTAGCATGATTCCTCCAACTTTGTTCTTCTTCCTCAAGATTGCTGTTGCCATTTAGGTGTTCTGTGGTTCCATATGAATTTTTGGAATATCTGTTCTAGTTCTGTGAAATATGCCGTTGGTATCTTGACAGGAATTGCATTGAATCTGTAGAATGTTTTGGGTGGTATGGGCATTTTAATGTTAATTCTTCCTATCATTGAACATGGTATGTGTTTTCAGTCATTTGTATCTTCTTTAACTTCTTTCTTCAGTGCCTTATAATTTTCTGGGCACAGGTCTTTTACAATCTGGGTTAAATTTGTTCCTAGGTATTTTATTCTTTTTGAAGCAACTGTAAATGGGATTGTTCTCTTAAGCTTCCCTTTCTGACAGTTCATTATTGGTGTATAAAAATGCAACTGATTTCTGATTAATATTTTGTATCCTGCTACTTAACTGAAATAACTTATTAGTTCTAGTATTTTTTTTGGTGGAATCTTTAGAGTTCTCTATATAAAGTATCATGTCATCTACAAATAATTACAATTTTACTTCTTCCTTTCCAATTTCGATGCCTTTTATTTCTTTTGCTTGTCTGATTGCTGTGGCTAGAACTTCCAGTACTATGTTGAATAAGAGTGGTGAAAGCAGGCATCCCTGTCTTGTTAAGGATCTTAAGGGGAACACTTGTAGCTTTTGCCCATTTATTATGATGTTGCCTGTGGGTTTGTCATATATGGCATTTTCTACATTGAGATATATTCCTTCTATTCCCATTTTGCAGAGATTTTTATCATAAACGGGTGCCAGATTTTATTAAATGCTTTTTCTGCATCTATTGATATGATCATGTGGTTTTTATCCTTCATTATATTTATGTGGCATATCACGTCTGTTTACTTGTGGATATTGTACCAACCTTGCATCCCCAGAATAAATCCCACTTGACCTTGGTGTATGATCTTTTTAATGTATTGATGGATTTGGTTTACTAATATTTTGTTAAGGATTTTAGCCACTATGTTCATCAGATATATTGGCCATAA